TTCAGTAGGAGCAACATCATAGCCTTCAAATATTCTTGGTACCATGTAATTGTGTATACTAAACAAACAATATGGTAGCTCAATATATATATTGTAGGGGTTGGCTCATGAACAGGACTGGTTCAAAGCATGAGCAAGGAAATCTTCTTTAAAAGAAGGTCCAAAAAGCAACTTTGAGTTACCCATGTCTCCACTTTTGGAGAAAAAGAATGTAAAACACTATTACACAGTGGTCTTGTAGCTCCCATCTCCTGAAAAAACACCACACTTCTCTAAGCTTAAGGGTATTATATGGAATTAACCACTATAGTACACTGGTTGGTGCTAGCATAAGTTGCTAAAATTAAAAGCCCCAATTCTTCAGGACGCCAAGTGGTTTCAGGTCTTCTGGATCTAAAAGAAAATGCCTCTATTTGTCCCACAGGTCAGTGAAAAGTAAAAAGAGGAGTACATCTTTTTTTAAAAGTAGTAAAGATATACCTGAGGTTTACAGGTAACTAGAATGTTGATCTCTGCAATCAGGAACAATAGTTTGTTTTCTCTACCATGATCTTTTATTACAACTAGGATGGCATGTAATCTGTATTGCAAATGATTCTGATTAAGGAGAAAGAAAGGTCTGGATAAAGAAAAATTCCTAATATTAAGATTGATTAAAACATACCACACATTTTCAATGAAATAGGAAATTAGAACAATTCAGACAAAACAAAACAGTTGGTGAAAAGTTCCATAGAAAGCAAACTTCACTTAAGAGAATGGGATAGACTCAATATACTGTAATTATCCCCAATTTTCTATTTATAATCAAGATGTATATGTTTAGATAAATATATAAAAAGCTTAAACAAATAAACTATATTACACACACACACACTTTCTTAAATAAAAAAAATCAGGTGCCAGTTTTTAAGAAACAAACATTAGATGCCCAAATGTATGAACTACTAATTGCAATCATGTATCCAAAGCAGGTAACATCATGTAAATAGCTACTGAGGGACACCCATGGAACACAGCCTGAATATTTGCAGATATATTGAGCAGGACAGCCATGCAATTTACATCCACCCTGTTTTTCATTTTAGCTTTTGGATTTTTTATTTTTAAATCTTCTGTCCCCAAGATGAAGAGCTCAACTTCCCAAATGGTTTTCTGGTCTGAATTCATGCCAGCTTCTTGCAACATACTGTATGTATCTGAGGCCATCAGCCCTACACCATTTGGAAATTAGCTTGAAGAGTGGTGCATGAAGGAGAAAAGGGTAAAGAAACAAATCTACCCTGAATTTTCCAGAATGAAATTCTCCGAATTTTGGCAGCTTTTTTCTGATGTACCCAAGGACTCCCTAAAACAGGGTCCCAGATCAGCACCAGGGAGCATTCTGTTTCCAGTTCAGCAAGCAATCATAGCAAGAAGAAATAGTCATGATGATCAATGATCACGCTGCCACATCCCAGCTAATTAGCTCTGCCACTGAGCAGAACTGATTATCTCTATGGCCCACAGTGCTGTACTAAGGTGAACACACTATCCCAGACCAGAAGTCATGTAGACTACTTTCCGTTCCTGGTGCCTGTGGAACATCTGGGATTGCATTGCATTCCCCAGAAGTTGGTCTCCTTAAATAAAGAAATACAGCAACTCTAAGAAACATAATCAATCTTCCTCACAGTTGGCACAAATTAATATCTACCAGTAAAATCTATGCTTTTTTCAGCCCTCTCTTCCCAGTCTGAATCAATGTCCGGATGCCTGTTCGCAACTCAGGAGCACAGGCGGAGAGGAGAGACTCCAAAGAGGAAAAAAGGGTATCACTACTTAGGAGAAATTTTGAAGAAGCAAGGGGTTCTGCTTTAGATGGCCTACGCTGGATCTCCCAACAAGCATCCACCAAGATTAGCAGAAGTGTGCAATCACTGCAGTCGCTCTCATCTTAGAAACAGAAATGCAGCCTGCTTCTAGGGTAGGTCCCCAATAGGCTACAGACCTGTAGTCGCCTCAAACAACGACTTATCATCAAGATGTAGATAACTTTGCCCTGCATTATAGAACTCCATGAGAAATGCCCTTTCCACCCTGTCTTCCATCTATTTTTTTTATTCACAACTTATTTCTGTAACATCTGAATACCTTATTTCTGCTCTTCCCCGAGTTAAGGCCCATGACCCTATGTGTTAGTAGCTGATACTGACAAAACAGCTGCATCTGTTTTCCTACAGCACATTGAGAAAAGACAGGGCTAGAGATAATTAAATAAAACAGAGGAACTAGATTATTTATTTTAAAGTAAAATGCATCTTCTAGGAAGAAAGTCCTTTATTTGGGCAAATCTGTAAGCTGTTTATCAGCTTAAACTCATTATCTGCCCATATGGTCTTAGCACTGTGGTTTAAAAAAAATGGGCATGCACTAGCTGATGAAATGTCATCTGCCCCTGTGCCAGAAACTAGTATTTTTGCAGTGACGTCAAATTAGGATCATTGCCACAAGTGAAGGGCTTCCATAAGGAAAGTCATCATATTTTAATTATGCAGGAATCCTACAGAAGGCAATGAGGAGCAGAAAACAGGGGAAAGAAAAGAAAATTCATTCATAAAAAAGGAACTCATTGCACTTACTCTTCCTCCCATCCATCTCTCTCTCTCTTTCTCCTTCTCTCTCTCTTTCTGTGTTTATGAAGAGATTTCAAATGAGCAAAAGGAGGAAAGAAAACACCCAATAAATTAACATCACAGTATGTGCATTCTGCTTCAAATGCCTGAAGTACTCAAACAAGGGTATATTATCTTAAGATACAAAGGTGTTAGGATGAAAACTGCTAACTCTGACTGCAGCTTGCTGAGCCATATTTCTGATGGATATCCAAGACGCCAGCCCATTCTGATGCATGAATAGCAGCAAGTTGGCAAGCCTGAATGATGGAACTAGGTTACAGAAATACAAATCAGGCACCATCATCTGTTAACGAGAACTAGTTCTGCAAAATAAAGCAATTTTAAGCCTTTCACACTCCTCTTTTGACATGCTGAGCTAACATTTATTGATCCTGCACAGTCACAATTAACCATGGTAGCTGGGCCAGTGGTTTAACACAGGACATTAAACCTAACTACCTGTCAACTTAGCTACTCCAAGAGAGAGAAACACACTGAAGTCACAGTAACAGATGCTGCTCATGTTTTATGAACTGCAATTTTATTCCTGGTTACAGATACTGTTTCTGCTCTTTAAAACCGATCTAAAGTTCTGTGTATACAATAATGATTTGAGTTAAACAATACACACAAACAAATTGATAGTGGATGGAGTTAAGGATACATCAGCTTTTCCCTTCTCCCCCAACCCCACCCCAAAAAATATAATACACATCAACTAGCCAAAAATGAGATCACCCCTAGGATAGTCATTAGATGCTGTCAACATAGAAAAAGATGCATGTTTAGATTACACTCCTTCCTGAACAAAAATCAGCCCCACCTTCACTCTCACTTTGGGAAATTAAGTTACAGAGAATCTGTTTTCACTTTTTAGGAGGGTGGGAAGAGAGGGAATGTGCTCTTCCCCTTTTGTTTTCCTCTTTCTCCACGTGGTGTATAAAGAGCTTTTCTGTAATTCACAAAGGACGCACTGAAGTCTGTGTCTTCTGAACTGAAGCCACTCCCCATTTAATTCCAGGGTTTGCCTGGATTCTGGAATTAAACCTATAGTCATCCCAATAAAGCTATAGCTATACCAGCAAAGCCCCCTAGTGGAGAGGCCACTGACACCAACAAAACAAGTTCTTAGCCAGAGTACTAAACAACCTTCCTTAAAGATGTAAGCTATTCTGGCAAAAAGAGTTCTTTTGCCAGTATAAGTTCATCTCTGGGGGAAGAGGATTGCCAGTATAGATCTGTTGGTTAAGTGGCCAATATAAACCCTCCAGATTTCAACCTGCCCCCCAAAATACATATTTTATATATTTGATGCATCTCTTTTTTGAGTAAGTGATAATAGGTGCTAATTCTCCGATGTGTCAGTGCTCCTAGCAAATGATTTCTCAAGCTAGAAAATTCACTGGCTAAGGTTCCCTTTACAGAAAATGCAAGGCAGTCAATAGAAATGATAGTTCAACTTTTCTGGCAGACTGAAATTTCTTGGAGAAGTAAACATTCTTCCTTTCCTTTTCCCACCCTCTTTATTTCTATTAAAAAGAAAAGCCTAGATTTTTATGGCAATTGTGCTGTGCAGTATTTCAGCTGCTCCAACAAAAACAGTACATTGGCTGCAATAAAAACAAAAATATCAGTTGCCTTCCAGGGACCATCAAACATTCGAATCATTTTATCAAGAGTGCAAAAGTAATCCAGGGAAACGGAAGACAGAGGACTATGCCTGAGCAGAATGTATCTTTCAAGCTTAAAGAATAAGAAACACTCCTACTTGCTCTTATGCCAGGTGGCTTTGTCTTGTTCTTTTTTGTGTACTTTAAAGACAAATAAAGAAAAACAATCCCTGTTTTCTTATGAATGGTGCTTAAGGACCCCCTTACTGGCAAGGACTACCAGCTGCATCGGGAAATACATTCTGTTAAATTAGTACAAAAGTGTAACTCTTCCATTCATTTCACTGAACCTACTCAGGATTTATATGGACAGAACTGAGCTCAAGAGTCTGACCAGTCACCTAGTCAGTCAGTCCATGTAGCACACCAGACTCCCACTGCCTCTCCTTGGGGGTCACTAGTAATCAAATCCTCACAAGTCCATTCATTGCATTTCTTTGCAACATTCAGCGATGCTCTAAGCACAGGTAACATAGAAAGGTGTTGGGAGCAGCACTGCAAAAGCCTAATTGACCAGCAGCCAAAAAAAGAAAAGAGCATCATTTAAAAACAAGGCCCATGCTTCCCAGAGCAGATGTCCGTTTCTCCTGACAAGCGCAGGCTTTAAACCTGCAAGCAAACTTCACACGCTGATAGCAAAACACCCGCATCTGCCCTGGCTGTAAAAACAAACCGTTGTGGTAGCCTGAGACTTGACCCAGACGCTGTTTCTGCTATTACATCTGTGCTGAGAAGCGGGGGGAGAGAGAGCGCGCCTCTGGGGTTCTCTGGGCAGCAAAGCCCGGCTGAAAGAGTTTCTGCTGGGGCTGGGCTGGGCTGGGCTGAAGTCAGACACCTGAGCTGCGCTGACACTGCCCTCAGCCAAACCTCGGGGCCTTCCTGTGCTCAGCCTGGGCCAGGCGGTCCCGGGACGTCCTAGAAGCCAGGACAAGGGACCTCCGGAACTCACCTCCTCCAGCGCGCCTCAACCCGTGGGTTGCAAGACCGTATGAAAGAGTCATGAACAAACTTGAAAAATGGAAAGGAGAAAAAAATGTGGCTTTTCCCTTGCAGGCTGGCAGAGCTCCAGCTTGCGGGGGGGCTGCCTGGGCCCCCCCTCCCCTGCCCCGCACACTGGGGGGCAGCTGGCAGGGAGCGAGGGGCACTGGGTTGGGGCGGGCCATCCGTGTTTCCAAATGGGTCCTGGCACAAAAGAGCCTGAGAAGCACTGCCCGAGGCCAGCCCCTGCTCCGACCACCACTGGATGCCCCCGGCCCGTGGGGCTGGCGTGTCGCGGGGAGGTTGGGCCA